AAAAGAAGGAGAAAAGTGAGCACTTAAGAGGAAAGGAAAGGCCAGACGGAACAGCCAGATAAGATAGATAAAATGCCAGGTACATGTGTATCACGGAAATTAGGAACAGAGAAAGCTTTAAGAATGAGAGGTGCTTGGCCAGTGTGGCTCAGCTGGCTGAGTGCCGTCCCGTGCATCCAAAGGTCTCTGGTTCCATTCCCAGTCAGGGCACATGCCCAGGTTGCAGGTTCAGTCCCCGGTCAGGGTGTGTACGGAAGGCAGCCAATTTGATGCCTCTCTCTCACATCCATGTTTCTCTCTCCAGCCTTCTCCCTTCCTGCCTCTAAAATCAATGCAAACATATTTAAAGGAGGAAAGAATGAGGGAGCATCAGAACTCCTTGGCGAAAGGGACACTGGGAAGTGTCCTTCAGAGAAACGCAGAGGACCAGGCTCTCCAGTCTGATCACCCCCTTCTTCTTCAGACTTCTCTCTGGCTGATCGCATACACCCTCTGTGCACCCTACCCAGAGCTCTCATGTAGGACGGTGCTGCCCCCACCTGAGGGCCTCTGGAGAGGCGTCGGGCAGGGGTCCTGCTGGCATGTAGTAGAGGGGTAAGCGATGCTAAGTATCAGCAACTCGATGAAAAGATGCCGAAATGTCACTAGCGCCTCTTTGGTGACCCTTGTCAAGCTGGAGTTTATGCATAGTTCCAAATCGCCAGTGGCCTTCACCCCTAACCTGCACACCCTGCTCTCCGCCCCTCGCCATAGCTTCAGCTTGTGTTTCTGCTGTGTCAGGTGTGTGGATTCTGAAAGTCTAGACCAGTGATGGCAACCTATGACATGCGTGTCAGAGGTGACAGGCGAACTCATTTTTTTGGTTGATTTTTCTTTGTTAAATGGCATTTAAATATATAAAATAAATATCAAAAATATAAGTCTGTGTTTTACTATGGTTGCAAATATCAAAACATTTCTGTATGTGACACGGCACCAGAGTTAAGTTAGGGTTTTTCAAAATGCTGACACGCCGAGCTCAAAAGGTTCGCCATCACTGGTCTAGACTCTCCTGGAATTCTGTTTTTTTTACAGAAGTCGCCAAATTCTGTAAAATTTTACATATGTCTATTATAATAATCACGCTTTTAAATTCTCCAATTCTGTGGTTTCCTAGATAAAACATGAATTTTTAAAAAATATATTTTTATTGATTTTAGAGAGAGGGAGAGATAGCTAGAAACATGAATGATCAGAGAGAATCATTGATCAGCTGCCTCCTGCACACCCCACACTGGGGATCCAGCCCGCAACCCAGGCATGTGCCCTGACCAGAGTCAAACCGTGACCTCCTGGTTCAAAGGTTGACGTTCAATCGCTGACCCACGCCGGCCGGGCTAAAACATGAATTTTTAAAGTTTCGGGCCCTTTAGTCTAAGCCCCAGCTTGCTGGTCTGTTACATGGGGGATCACGCCCACGTTATGTAAGACGACTGGACATGAAGCACCCAGCACAGACCCGGCCCTTGGCAGCTGTCAAGTCACCTTGGCCGCCCTGCCCTTGGTGACTCTCCACTCAGGAATTTATACAGCCTCCCTGCTTTCTTACTTGGCACCGATCTACCTCCAATTGTCGTCACATCTGTGGTGCTCACCCAGCTTTACTTAGGCTGTGACACACTCGGCACACAAGGGCCACCAGGGCTGCCCAACGTGCTCCCGCATCCGGGACCCCAGGCTCTCAGCCAAAAGCTGCCAATGGGCCCCCATCTCTCCTGCCTCCTGCATTTCAGAGCACATTCTCTGAAGCAGCCATTTCTTCCCAGTCCCGTTCTTCTTTCTCTACCTCTGATCAAATGTCCTTAAATGAAAGAGCTCATGAGTAGGTGCTGTATCATTCGGTATAATTTACACGCAGTTCTATGAAGTGCGACGTGCAGCTTTGCTATATATGTATTTGACTAGATGCAGTGCTTGTGATTGCTCCCAGGAGGGAGAGCAAGACGAGCCCTGGCCGGTTTGGCTCAGTGGACTGAGTGTCCTCTCAGGGACTACAGGGTCCCGGGTTCGATTCCAGTCAGGGCACATGATTCTCTCTCGTCACTGATGTTTCTCTCTCTCTCCCTCTGCCTTCCTCTCTGAAATCAATGAAAATACTTAAAAAAAAGTCCCAAGATTAGAAAGTAACTAACTGCCAGGCAGCAGGACTGCCATCTCTGGTCCCCCCACGGGCCTGCTGCTCCAGCCACACCTGTTCGGGGTGATGGGGCCGCACCCAGGACAACCCCACGCACAGTGTAAAGGTCTAGGGACCGATGGGAGTTCCTGACTTAAAGTGCAGAGAGCCTTCAGCTAATTAGAACGGAGAGTTCAAGGTGGCATTCCAATGATCCCACCACGTGGCCTTTGCGTCTGAGTAAAGAAGATCACTTTCTATTCTCGAAAGAAGATATGGCTGAATCAGAAACGCTCTACAGGAGGGCAGAGATAAGCTTGAAATCCAGTGAAAGGAAGTCACCTGCGGAAAACACCTTCAGGCAGTCTCCAGGGGGGCAGAGTGAGAGTCCGCCTCCTCACATCCTCACGGTTCAGAAAGCCCAGGACACAGGGAGGGCAATGTCCTGATGTCGTAAGAACCATCCAACAGTACAGCCCTACGGACTGTAAAAGAAACCTGCAGCGGTGTCAAAACACTGCACAGTACTAATGTGAAGATAAGACATAGGAGAAACAACATTGTTATGGCCTCTAATTTCCTTTTAAAGCCATGTCCAGTGAAGTACCTGGGCCTCAAATTACTTTACAGCCCTAGCAGGTATCCTCACAAATATTTTAAAAATAACGTAAGTGATAAGGCAAAGCTCACAATTATCTCAGGAGATAAGAGAAAACTTTAAAAAACTTTTTTTTAGAAAGGGCGAGGGCGAGAGAGAGAGAGAGAGAGAGAGAGGACGAACAATGTAATGTGAGAGGGAAACATCGATCAGCGGCCTCCTGCACACTGCCTACCGGGGATCAAGCCCACAACCTGGGCATGTGCCCTGACTGGGAATCGAACCAGCAACCAGGGTTCTGGAAGCCTTGTGAGGCTCGGCGAGCGCCAAGTCAAGTATAGCAAGCCCTCGTTTAACGTCAATGACAGGTTAACGCAACCTGAAGTGAAATGACGTCCATGAAACCACTGTACCATGGGCTGATCGACATGAACAACACCTCACCAATGTCACAGTGAAACGACACCGAATAAAAGGACGTTATTCAAAGACCAGAAGGAATGGGGCTCTGTGACTCCCTGGTCCCAGGCTCCTTGTGGAGTCAGAGTCAAGGTGCATGCTGAGAGGAATTTCCTGCGTTCCAACAGCCGACCTTGAGAATGGCCAGCCTGCGCTAGCTGGCAGAGTGCCACCCCAGAGCCTGGGAGAGTGCGCTGACAATGAGAGGCCCCCGGACAGCAATGCTACAGTGAGGGATCTAACAACATCCGCTTCGCCCTCACCGGTATGGCTCAGTGGATAGGGCACGGGACTGCAGATAAAGGGTCCTGGGTTCGATTCCCATCCAGGGCATGTACCTAGGTTGCAGGCTCCTCCCTGGCCTGGGCCCTGGTCAGGGCATGTGCAGGACGCAACCAATGAATGTGTTTCTCTCACTTCGATATTTCTCTGTCTTTCCCTCTCTCTCTAAAAATCAATGGAAAAATATCCTTGGGTACGAATTTAAAAATAAATAAAAATGAAAACGTCTGCCTCATCAGGGTGGAAACAGAGTAATAAAGGATCATGGCTTAGCCACGAGCACATAGTCTCCTAAAAATCACCACCACCCTCCAAGGGCCAAGGATCACAGTGACAATCAGCTGAAGAAACACCAGGACCAAGCAAACCTGAGATGCACGGACTTCCACCAGCGAGCAGCACTGGGTGGGGCGTGTGCCCAGGGGAATAAAACAAATGCGGCAGCTGCTGTCCCCTTGCTGGCAACCGCTCACGTTTAATCTGGATGAGGGCGGAGGCCATGTCGGAGAACGTGGACTACGAACCACTTCAATCCTGCCTGATATCAGCTTCCCTACGGAGCATCACATGGCCTTAAACTGCGTTAATGATGTCTTAGTCACTGCTTTACTGTTCGGGAACAGTAAAAGTTTCACAAAGTCAAAGCCTCTGTATCGTGATTATTCGAAAGCTTCACTCTCACTGTACTACTGCGGGGAAACTCATTTGGTAACCGACGTAAATCTACTGATTTCACTTTCTAGGGACATCACTGCCATCTACCAGGAGGTCTGTCTGAAAAGCTGAACCATGATACAGGCCCAGTGGTAATCTCTGTGTTACAACTGGTAACAGATCTTTGCAAAATACCCCCAAAACTATCACACTTCAGTTATTAAATAAAAACCGGTTCTGCCCAGCTGACGTAGCCCGGTGGTTGAACGTTGACCTACGAACCAGGAGGTCAGGGTTTGATTCCCAGTCAGGGCACATGCCTGGGTTGTGGGCTCGATCCCCAGTGTGGGGCGTGGAAGGAGGCAGCCTATCAATGATTTTCTCTCCCTCTCTGAAATCAATAATATACATATATATATATAAAACAAATAGGTTCTAGGCCCAGCCGGTGTGGCTTAGTTGGTGGAGCATCAAAAAAAACATATTAAGCCCTGACCGGTTTGGCTCAGTGAATGGAGCGTCAGCCTGCGGACTGAAGGGTCCCGGGTTCGATTCCGGTCAAGGGCATGTACCTTGGTTGCGGGCACATCCCCTGCAGGGAGTGTGCAGGAGGCAGCTGATGGATGTTTCTCTCTCATTGATGTTTCTAGCTCTCTATCCCATTCCCTTCCTCTCTGTAAACAATCAATAAAAGTATATTAAAAAAACACATATTAAGAAAAAGCAAAACCAGGTTCTAGGACTATCCCCAGAGTGAAAAACACACAAAGGAAAGCACATGGAAGTGTAGAGGTGGCTGGGATGGCCAAGGCTCTTGGCTTTCCGGTGACCCTGGTTTGGGAAAGAAGGTACCTTATCCATATGGAAGATCAAATCCAATTCACAAACATTTTCGAAACATTTATCCAGGGTCTCCACAAAAACCTAGGAAAACATAAAGAAATAGGTAAAGAAGAGAAACAGGGAATATCCACATCTTCATAAACATCACATGTGAAAGCGAAGGGGAAGTCATGCTATTTACCTTAAGGTAAATCGCAAACAAAACGAAACCTCCTTATTTTCTTATCTTTTCTCTCCCATTTTCCTCTCAGGTTTTTAATTTCTAAGAGATCATTCTGTTTGTGTTTCTTGTTTGTTTAGCAGCCCATGTTTGTCTTCTTTTATTGCTCTGTGGCTTAGAGATAAGGGCTTGTTTCTCCCTCTCCCTCTCTCTAAATAAAAAAAATCAATAAAAAAAGAGCGTATATATAAAAAAAAGGGCAGTCACATGCATGTTTTTCCTCGAGCCTCAAAACACCATTATTCAAGTTCATGATCAAGATCAAGAACCGAAGGAGTCAAAACTGAGGCAAAAGGCGTGCTGATGCATGAAGAGACTGAAATGAAGGTACTGCAGCTCAGACAGCAAAATAATAAGATATGTATCTAAAATTCAATCCCTAAGACACACAGTTCTGAGGAACAAAATGACAAAGAACATTCGTCATGTAGAGGAAGCGAGTGACTAAATTCACCTGAAAATGGTGAGGACACACACAAATGCAAAGGAAATCATCAAGAGGCAGGAGTCACTCAAGACCTCAGTCGCGCCCTGGCTGGTGTGGCTCAGTGGATAGAACTGAAAGGTCCCAGGTTTGATTCCGGTCAAGGGCATGTGGCCGGGTGTGGGCTCAATTCCCAGTGGGGGACTTGCAGGAGGCAGCCGATCCATGATTCTCTCTCATCATTGATGTTGCTATCTCTCCCTCTTCCTTCCTCTCTGAAATCAATAAAGATATTTAAAAAAAAAAAATCAGTCGCATAAAAGGGAGTTAAAGCCGGAAGTGGGAAGAGTCTCCATCCAGGACCAGGGGGCAGAAGAATCCTGATCCAGAAGCCAAGAAATGTGCGATCAGACCTCTTCCTGCTCAAGGTCAAGGGGTAGCAGCAGGGGTGCCCCAAAAAGCAGAAGTCGAGAGAGAAAGAGGGGAATGGGAAAAGGAAGAAGATGTAGCCAAAGTTTCAGCCTGACTGCTGGGAGGTTGGGAAGGGCAGAGAAATGACAAGAACAGCGAGAAAAGGAAATGGTTGAAAAGCAACAACAACAAGAAGCCGAGCTACTGGGAATTCGGTTCTCAATGTGCTGGCCAGTGGGCACCGGGAACACAGTGGCTCCTTGGATAGCGATGGCGCTCACATGGCAGCCCCCGGAGCGAAGCTTCCGCAGGAAGCAGAATAACCAGGTTTAGCGATTATAACCCAGCAGCTGGGAATCACATGAAACTTGTTGAACAAGAGGAAAAACAGGAAAACGCCTCGGCGAAGCAAGAAACAAGGTGACAAACCCAAGCCTGCCTACATATGGGATCAATGGAATTTTGAAAATGAAGACCAAAATGTCAAATTTAGAAAATGAATGGGTATTAACAGTGGAGATGGATGTAGCTCCGTTGATAAGGTGACAAGACTGAACAGGAAGAAGTATTTGGAAATCCAGAAGCCCAGCCTGAGGTGGCGAGATCACAAACCCACACACCAAGGGGAATGGAGTGCGGCTCGTGGCTTCCGTCCAGGGGCGGAGGCAGTTGGAAAAAGGTCACACTTTTAAAGTTTGGGGCTTTACAGACTTCCTGTTCTAATGTTAGGTCCTCTGTCACCAACCAGCTAGCATTCTAGCTTGCAAGGGTGTTGTACTTTAATCCATTAAAAAATCTGGTTCTTGCACATACAGAAAAGGTGGTTGTGTGGGGTGATAAGAGAGGTTAGATAACACTATGGTGGTCATCATTTTGCAATACATTCGAGTGCCAAATCAACAGGCTGCACACCTTAAACTTGCACAATGTTATATGTTAATTATATCTCAGTGAAGCTAAGGAAAAAAGAAAATTTCATTTTTTATAAATAGCAAATCTTCTTCTAAGTTTCCCGGGGTTCACCCTTGACCTCAGACTTCCCCAGAAGGGGCTCTTGTAAACTATCAGGAATACTAAAGCCAGACCATGACCTAGACACTTTCCTCACATTATCTCCTCTTGGGAGCCTTCATCTAAAAGTGGCAAATTCGCCCTGGCTGGTGCGCTCAGTGGTTAGAGCATCAGCCTGAGCACTGAAGGGTCATGGGTTCAATTCCCAGTCAAGAGGACATACCTTGGTTGCAGGTTCGGCTGGGGCCTTGTGCAGGAGACAACCAATGGATGTGTCTCTCTCACATCGATGTTTCTCCTCGCCCCGCCAGCCTCTCTCTCTCTCTCTCTCTCTCTCTCTGCACCCACACCCCCCCTCCTCCAACTCCTCCTCCTCTCTCCTTTCCACTCTACCTAAAAATCAATGGGAAAAATATCTTTGGGTGAGGATTCACAAAACAAATAAATAAAATAAAAGTGGCAAATTACCCTTTCCTTACACAGCTAAGTTTGTGCTTAGCTTTTTATCATTTAGGAAATATACATCACCTAGTAAAACTAAAACGAGAAGCAAAGGAATGGTAACTCGAAAGTCTTAAGAGGGATTAAAAAAAAAGTCTAGCCCGGCCAGCGTGGCTCAGTGGTTGAGCATCCACCTATGAACCAGGAGGTCATGGTTCGATTCCGGTCAGGGTACATGGCCAGGTTGTGGACTCCATCC